GTAGTCCAGTTTCCTCAGTCACTCCTCATAGGGCTTTGTTTCCAGATCGTGGGTCTTCTTTGCTGCCCTCCGCTGATCTCTGCCCAACTTGTCTGCACATTTCTCCAACTTTGGTGCCCAAAACTGGATGCAGCACTTCAGACGAGGTCTAACCAGTGCTTAATATAGTGAAACTAGGACTTCATGGGATTTGGAAGTGGATCTTCTATTTATGCAGCTTTTGCTATTTAAACAGCATTTGCCCTTTTTGCAGCCACATCACAGTTGACTCAGATTCACCTTGTGATCTACACCAATTCCAAGATCCTTCTCCCATGCCATATTGTTGAGCAGAGTATTCCCCATTTGGTAGCCATGCATTTGGATTCTTTGTCCAAGGCCCAAAACCAGTCTCACTGTGCTGCTTTTAGTTTACTGCTCCATCCTGCCGAGATCATATGAATCCAATTTTTATCTCCTTATGTGTTTGCAATCCCACCTAGTTTTGTGTCATCTAAAAAGTTAATAGGCATTCCCTGAACTTATTTCCCCAATTCATAATAAAAATGTTGAAGAGCACAGGATCACAAATGACTCCTGTGGAAGCCCACAAGAAATCTCTCTCCAGTTTGAGAAGGTGCTGCTGATGAGCACTCTTTGAGTTCGATTCTGCAGCTGGTTGTGGGGTCACCTAAGAATCCTACGATCCAGTCCACAGTTTGTTCATTTGCTTATCAATATGTCATGGGGTACTACGTGAAAAACTTTGCAAAAGCCAAGTTAGATTATGCCCACAGTGTTTCCATTCTCCATTCTGGAAGTTTCAAATGTACTGATATGGATGCCCATAATTTTAGAGAATAATAACCATAAAAAGTTAAAAGAAAGAACAGCTACATAATTCATTTTAATTGATAGTGCTTCATTTGGAGTCTTCATCTTCTTCCTGATCATGCTGATGATGGTGGTGGAACAGAGAAAGCAATAGAGAGCAGGAAGGCCCTTCTCAGGTGTGGTTCCTCAATTCTGAAGTAGCTTCTAAAATAAGAGAGGGACTTCACCTTCATTGAAGCCAAATGTCAACTCCTCCTAAGGAAAAGCCATTTGGGAGAGTTCTGCCCATTTTATTCAAAATTATTGATGATTGAGGGCATTTCTTCCTGCCCCACACCAGAACATTGTATGGGTGCTGTTGGAAAGCTTTCTTGAATGGCACTTCTGTTCCTCAAGGATACTTTGTGAATAAATTCCACTAGAGATCTTGTCGTATCGTACAGTTCAGCCTTACTCCACATGAAAAGAAAGATTTTAATGCTCAGAAAACTGAGTGCATGAAACTGGTTCAGTGTAGGACATAAATTAGTTGCACTCAGAAATTATTTGAAAATAGGACTGGTTGTCAAAGGGACTAGACATCCCACTGGTAACATGATTCACTTGTGAGAAATGGACTGCTCAAACTTCTCTGTCCCCTCCTCTTCACTGCCAGGTGGTGCCTCATTCAAGGTGCGTGGAGAGCTGTCATCCTGGTTACACCAAGGAGACTCAGGAAGGGAAGCCACCCTGCTGCTACGCATGTTCCCCTTGTGCAGAAGGGACCATCTCCATTCAGGAAGGTGGGTCCCCACAGAGGAAATACTTTTCCTTTCAGAGGAAGGGCAAATGGTTGAGTCTGCCCAAACACTCTATGTGTAATAGGTGGCTCATTTCCAAATCTGAAAAGAACAGTTTCCAAAAGTAATTTTCCATCTGAAAAGAGCAGTTTAGTGAGCAAGCAGGGAGCTTGTTCCGTTCTCAATAGAACAGAACACCATACTCAGGATGATTCACACACTGCCAAAGGTGATGTGATCCCGGTGGCTTGGGAAGCCACCTTCATTTGGTCAGCCATTTTAGCAGTGTTGATTGTCTTGTTCTTTGCATTAAGTCCTCTTCTTCTTTGGAAACAGCTGATGTTCACTTTTGTTGTTGTTGTAAGTTACAAAGTCGTGTCCGACCCATCACGACGCCATGGACAACATTTCTCCAGGCCTTCCTGTCCTCTACCATCCCCCGGAGTCCACTTAAGCTCAAACCAACTGCTTCAGTGACTCCATCTAGCCACCTCATTCTCTGCTGTCCCCTTCTTCTTTTGTCATCAATTGTTCCCAGCATTAGGCTGTTGTCTAGGACATGAGGGTAGTTTTTGAAGTCAGGAGAGTATCCAAATGGAGCTTGTAAAATGCCCATTCCATCTTGCTCCTGCGAGTTCACTTTTCAAGCAAGCCCCCCCATCCAAGACATATTGTCAGATCCTTACCCTCTTTAGCAACTGGGGGAACTAGAAACATAGAAACAGAGCAAGACAGAAGGGGTCTCCTGGGCCATCTAGTCTGACCCTGGTTCCATCCAGCTCCGCTCATGACATGCCCGCCATGTGCATGTCGGGTCTATCTTTGAAGACCCACACCGATGGGGCCTCAACGACCTCTCGTGGAAGCCCATTCCACAACCTCGGGGTCCTAACTGTCAGGAAGTGCTTCCTGGCATCTAAATGGAACCTTGGTTACCTGAGCTTTGCTCTGTTAGAGTGCATACTGCCTTCCTCTGCAGGGGAGAACTGGTCTCTACCCAGGTCTCTACCTAGTTGGTTCTGCATTGTAGGAAGCAAAAAAGTGAAATGAAATAAAATGAAAGAAGGTCACTTCCTACCACCTTAACTTGGTTCACACTACCACTTGTTCTGGAGAAGCAAATGGGAAAACTATAGAACAAATCCGTGAATCATGCACTTCTAAAGATAGCTGAGCATTTTCTGCCTGTCTGCCTTCGTGTCTGCTGGCCAGCTGGCCAGCCAGCCAGCCAGCCAGTCAGTATGTCTAATCTATAAATTCCAAATCCCACAGCCAGATTGGACAACATGCATAATCCTTTCATTGAGCTCATATTGACTGTTTAGTTCCTACTGTCAGGAGTGCCGTCATGTCCTCCAGAGATGAGCTGACGTGTCCTGCAACTTCACAGCCTCGTGTGATGGGGATGCCACAGACAGAACCTGGGAAGTAAAATGTGTGTCCCCTTCCTGGGGACTTGGGCCTCTCTCCCTGGAAAACCACAAACAATTCCCTCCTGATGTTCCCCACATACACTAAGTAGATGCTGTCCTGGATGTCCCATTGATGGTGGCATTGCTGAAGTGGCGTCCCTTCCTTCCAGATGCAGAACAGTGCAGCAAGTGTCCTGAAGATCAGCACCCAAATGAGGACCGAAATCACTGCGTCCCCAAGAGAATTACCTACCTCTCCTATGAGGAACCTTTGGGGATTCTCCTGGCTTCCTTTGCCCTGATTTGGCTTTTAAGCACATGCATTATGCTTGGAATCCTTATCCAATTCCGAGAAACTCCAATTGCGAAGGCCAACAACAGGAACATCTCTTACATTCTTCTAGTCTCCCTACTGCTTTCCTTCTTGTCTTCATTCCTGTTCATTGGGCAGCCAAGCAAAGTGACTTGCCTTCTCCGACAAACATCCTTCAGCATCATCTTCTCAGTTGCCATCTCTGGTGTGCTGGCCAAAACCATCACTGTGGTGCTGGCCTTCCTGGTCACCAAGCCAGGGAACAGAGTGAAGAGGTGGGTGGGGAAGAGCCTTGGAAACTCTATTGTCTTTCCATGTTCCAGTGTCCAACTGGTCATCTGCTCCATCTGGCTGGCAATAGCTCCACCCTTCCCTGACTCTGACCTGAACTCCCAGCTGGGACACATCATCCTACAGTGCAATGAAGGGTCTCTCACAATGTTCTACACTGCCCTCACGTACATGGGCTTCCTGGCTTCAGTCTGTTTCATTGTGGCTTTTTTGGCCAGGAAGCTGCCTGGGGCATTCAATGAAGCCAAGCTGATCACCTTCAGCATGCTGGTCTTTTGCAGTGTCTGGGTGTCCTTCGTGCCCTCCTACCTGAGCACCAAGGGGAAGTACATGGTGGCCGTGCAGGTCTTTTCCATCTTGGCCTCCAGTGCTGGGCTGTTGGCCTGCATTTTTCTTCCCAAGTGCTACATCATTGTCCTGAGGCCAGAGCTAAATACGAAGGAACATCTCATGATCCAAAGCAAAGATACCATCTGATTTGTGTGTTTAGGCTGGGAGTGAGACTCTGGATATTTGCTAACTGTATGATTTTTTCAGTGGTGGCCTCCAGAGGATAGAATGCAGTCTCTTGAGTGTCTCCTCTGGCTACCTACTTTGTGACCTTTGGTGCTATGGGAAGACTCTTGCCTGCTTTTCAGCACTGAAGTCCTTCAGCATTTGCTTCTTTTAACATGTGACGGTAGTTTTGGAGCTTTACAATTGCTGGATTTAGCTACAAATTCTAATTGGGGTGCCAGGGTTTTAAGTGTTTTACATTTTAATTGTGCTCTGCTGTCATCCTTGTAAATGTTGCGAACTATCCAGAGAATTTTTGCCTTTGGGTTGCTGCAATAAAGTATGTATATATAACAATCCAGCCAGCACTGCTGCTTCTCTTTTGTTAACAGGCTCCTGTTATTCCTACTTTCATGTGGCACTCTTCATCTTCTTGCACGGTAGCCGAAGCAGTTCATGTGGTCTTCCTCCTTTACAGTTAATTCTCAAAACAGCAATCTTGTATGGTGTGACTAGTGAAAGACCATTTTTTGAGGTTGGTGTCTGATTGAGGAATAGAACCTGGGTCTTCCCAATGAAGCTGAGCAATAGAGCTTGAGTTCAGGGCTTGCACTTACAGCTTGAGTTCTGAGATGTTGTGTGCCCAGAGTGAGTCCATCTCTTTTCTAAATCCCTGATACAAATACAATTTCTCACTTTTAGCATGGAAGCTTCTCCCTGGCTCCCTCTTGCCTCTTTGCAAATGGCTTCCCAGCAGAGGGAGATGACCAAGGACCTCCATGTCACCTGTTCTGTCCCCTGAAGGAAATGAAGGACAGTCCTCTTCACCAATCTCTTCCTTGATTGGTTGGTTTATTATCTTGCTGCCCTGGTATTTCCTTTGTGGTTGAGAAACCCGATCCCTTACCTCATTGTTTTTCAGCCGTCTGTCTTCACACTGGTCCACTTGCATTTCCAACGGGTCCACAAAAGAGCTGCTGTCGTGTGCTGACAGGGCAGCTACATCCATTCACCATGGACCGGGACGGGGGGGTGGGGGCAAGGCAGTGAAGTAAGAGCCAGCAGGGAACCGGGGGGCCACTTGACATCCTATACCTGTGAAACATATTTTTTTGTCCCACTTGTAAGACCTTGAATTTAACTGCATGGAACACCATCCTGTTGTCCCCTGAGCATTTTCATAGTCTGTCTAGATCCTTTTGCATCCAGAGAACCTGCTTTTCAGTTGTTGCCACCAACCCCATTTTAGTATCATCTGTGAATTTGGACAGCAGACTTGTCACACCCACTTCAAGGTCACTGATGGATTGTTTCCAGGCCAGAGCCCTGGTGGAACCTGCTCATCATTGACCACCATCCCAAGTCAACTATGCGCTAATCCATCAAACACTGCATCAGTCTATTGCAAAACCTCTCAATTTCTGAACCAGGATATCATCTGGCACTTTGTCAAATGGCTTGCTGTACTTCAGGTAATGCCATGTCCCCTCTGTTGAGCCACCTCGAAACCTTGCCATGGAAGTCCACAAGGTTTGTCATGTAAGACTTGCTTTTGCTGAAGCCCTATTGTGTGGCCACCAACCTCCCTTCCCTATTTAGGGTGTCCAGAACAGTTTTTATTATGAGCTTTGCATCATCTTACCCAGAATTGACATGAAACTGACTGGCCTGTAATTCCCCATGTCCCCTCTACTACCAATTTTGAAGATTGAGACCACTGATGCCAACCCCCAATCCTCTAAATCTTCACTCGTTCTCCACAAGGCCTCAAAAATGGAGGCCAATGGGAATGAGAGAACAGCTGCCAACTTGCGAAATACTCTCGGGTGTAACATGTCAGGGCCAGGTGCCTTTGTAACATCCAGTGCCCTGAGGAGCCCCTCGACTTCTAGGGGGTGACTCTAATCTTTTCCCCTAAGTCCCCAGAATCATCTAATCTCCCATGCAGATCTCCCCCATCCTGCTTTGGGGAGAACACAGAGGCAAAATAGTCTTTTAGCATCTGTACCTGTTCCCTCGTATCAGACACTGGATCCCCTTCCTCCTTATTTAGTGGTCCCTCTACTTGTCTCCCCTTTCTCCTGCTATTTACATGCTGATAGAGGCCATTTTGTTGCTCTTGACATTCTTTGCAAGTCTCAGCTCATAATCAGTCTTAACCTTGTGAAGAGTCCTTTTGCAATGAGCCTCCTCCCCCGATATGCACTTTTGTCTATTTGCCCAAGTGGAAGTAGGTTCCTCTTACTCCTAATGCCTCTTCCCACTTCTCTTCTCATCCACAGAGCTGCTTTCTTTCACCTCCCCACCTTGCTAACTAGTGGCATCATCAAGGCTTGAACCTCCAAGACCTCCCATTGGAGTTCCATCCACTCCTCCTGAAATTTCTTGCTTTCCAGTGCTAATTCCCAGGAGACTGTCCCCTGTCTGGCCTTCCATTGACCAAAGTTGGCCCTCATGAAGTCCCAGCTTCTAATGCTTGATCTGCCAGTCATAACCATTCCCCTGATCTTAAACCAAAGGATGTAGTGATCACTTGCAGAAACACGGGAAACCTCACCTGGCCTGGATGACGGAAAGGATTGACAGATGGACAGCTCTTTCTTGACTCTGTGGGTGGTGGTGCATGATTGTTCTTAGTTGGCAGAGCAATTTGTCTGGTTAAATCAGCTGAACTCATCCTCAGGTTTTCCTGCCCTGACCCATTCCAGGATGGATTGTTTCCTCCTAATTCTATGGGTTCCCAAAGGAGTAAATGCTAATGTGAGCATGGAGGGTCCCAATCAGGGAGCAAAACTTGTAGTGGCCCTGTGGAGTCCTGGATGCCTCCTTATCTGTGGCTTTTTTGCCCACCATAATGTATTGCATGAAGTGATTGGGGAGGTCATGCCTGGAACAGGATGCTGAGCCCCTGGTTCTATACACATTCCCTGAGCTATGTATCCAGGGGACTAAGGCTGGCCTATCTCTGGAGACCGGGCTGTGCCTCTTGTATTAATTGAACCCTCTGGACACCTGTGCAGAGCAAGCTTCATTGTCCTGGTCTCAGTCAGAACTACCATGCTCTCCTTTCTGTATGGATTTATTATATCATTCATCACATTTATGTTCCATCTTTTCTCCCTTTTTGTCTAAGCAAATTAGGACAGTTGAAAGAATTCTCCTCCCATTTGTCTAATCCACACAAAAACAGCCCCGAGAGGCTGTACCTGTACCAAAGTCACCCAGGGAGCTTCAAGGCTGAGTGGTCTAGAACCCAATTCTCCTTGGTTCCAGTCAGGCACTAACAACTGCCTCCGTTCACTGGCTCTCCTCTCTAGGAAATCCTGTGAAACGTGCTGTGAATTTGTAGCAGTGCAGCATGCCTTTCTTGCTGGAGACAAGGGATCCAAACAGTGTCTGAAGCCTGCTGTGAATACCTCCAGCCCACAACAAGCCCCACTTTTTGGGAGGGGGGATGTCTCTCCCCTTCCCAAGAACAATTCCATCATTTCTTCTGCTTTTTTTATAGGCATTCCCTTATGAAAAGTCTAAATATGTTAGGTACTGGGCCCCATGACTAATAAATAAATAAATAGATAAATGAATGAATGAATGAATGAATGAATGAAAAATACTTTAGAGAAATGACTGATGAAAAATGAAGGAGTTTTCGGGAAAAAAATGCAATTCAAGTGTTCAATAGCAAGACTGAGAAGAGGCCTCTGGGACACAGAGCAGAGCAGATGCAAATGAAAAGCAGCAGATCAGCCTCCGTGGAGTGTGTTGGGCTTCGCACAGTCTAGAATCATCAATTCATTGAGGACCTCTTGAGTATTTAGTTTGGGCTGCCAGGAGCTCCATCCAGTCCATCAGGGATGAGTTTCCTTTTCCTTGTCGCTGAGGGCCAATCTAAATAGAATGTTCATCTCCTCTGAATGATTTGTCCCTTACTCAGCCAGGCCAAAATTAATTCTTTCTAGCATCTCCCACCTGCTGAACTCCCTTTCCTTCTTTCCAGATGCAGAGGATTGCACCTGGTGTCCAGAAGATCAGCACCCAAAGTCCGAGACTGATGCATCCCGAAAGAGGTAACATTCCTTTCCTATGATGAACCTGTGGGGATCATGCTGGCTTACTTTGCCCTCATCTCTTCTTTGACCACAGGGTTTGTGTTAGGAATCTTCATCAAATTCCTAGAAACTCCAATAGTCAAGGCCAATAACCAGGACTTATCCTGTGTCCTCCTGGTCTCCCTCCTACTTTACTTTCTGTCCTCCCTTGTGTTCATTGGGCAGCCAAGCAAAGCAACTTGCCTGCTGAGGCAAACTGCCGTCAGCATCATCTTCTCAGCCACCCTGTCTTCTTTTCTGGCCAAGACCATCACTGTGGTGCTGGTCTTCCTGGCCACCAAGCCAGGGAAAAGAGTAAAGAGATGCCCGCTGAATAGCTTTGCATGTTCCATTGCAATTTCCTGCTCTAGTGACCAGGTTGTTATCCACACAATCTTCCTCATTCCGTGACTCTGACATGCATTCCTTTCCAGAAGAGGTAATTCTGCAATGCAGTGAAGGTTTTGTGGACTCTTTTAACACAGCCCTCAGCTACATGGGCTTCCGGGCTATCGTCTGCTTCACAGTGGCTTTCCTTGCCAGGAAGCTTTCTGGGGCCTTCAATGAAGCAAAGCTGATCACCTGCAACATGCTGGCCTTCTGCAGTGTCAGGGTGCCTTCGTGCCCTCCTACCTGAGCACCAAAGGCAAGTACATGGTGGTTGTGCATGTCTTCTCCATCCTGTCATCCACTGTTGGGTTACTGGGCTGCATCTTCCTTCCCAAGTGCTACATCATTGTCATGAGGCCTGATCTGAATACAAAGGAGCATCTCACAATCAAAATTAGATATGGCATCTGATTTGTTTGCAAGATCCTGGTAGATTCCACCCCCAGCACCATTTGGATAGAAATCACATCTTATCTTGGAGTGAAAGAAATACTTTTCAGCATGTTTCTCTGGGAGGGATTATTTATTCCTTTATCCATTTACATTCCACCTTTTTCCTTCCAGTGATCTCAAGGCAGCTAACATGGTCTTCCTCCTCCTATCCTTATTTCAATCCTCAGTAGTAGGACTTGTATAAAGCCTGCTAGAATATTTAGACCCTTCCTCTTGTGCTTGGCCAGGCCTTCCAAAGCAAGCTGGCCTGAGAACAACTCTCCAAAATCTTGAAAAGCTCACAGACCCCCCGCCCCCATTTGTACAACAGGCAACCTCCTTTGGAATCCACTGAAGATGCTCAAATGGTGGTTAAGGGAGCCCCAAGCCTTTTATGGCATACTTTGCAGCTGCTCACAGGGCTAGAACCTTCCTGAGGGTGGAGCCCAGAACTTTGGTATCTTTTCAGCTTGGAAGCAGCTCTTCTCATTGGCAAAAACTGCTCCAACACATGATGGTGATCATTCCTTGATGGATGTTTACAGGGATCAGCTCTTCTAGAAAACATCCAGTATCAATGCAAAACCAGTGTTGCTCTAATAAAAGATGAATGGAAAAAGATGCAGTCTTTAAAGAAAGTATGATAAAAGATGTACTCTCCACCCGATACAGCTGCTGCTACTCCTTTGAGTGATTGGAGCATGTCACCAGTTTGGGTGTACTGGAATGGAGTGAGGTGGCTGCCTGATGCAATGCCTCAGTTTCCAAAGAAAATATTCACTGGGAATATTCACTGAGCTCACTGGGAGTCTTGTCAAGGGGTTGGGAAGGCAGTATCTTGACAGCTGTGCAGCATTGGCTGTTTCTAGGGATCTGTGAGAAATCAGTTCAATGCCAATGGGTTTGGTCTCCAGTGGAAACCCTGGCTTGGGTCCCTGAACCCTAGGACCCTTTGTTGTGTCCTGATTCTGAATTCCTGCCCAGCAATTGTGAACTGATCCCCAGGAATGCAGTCCCATAGTCTCACTGCCTGAGCAGTACTCCTTTCTGTGCACCTCTGTGTTATGCAAGATTCCTTCTGTGAGTGTTTGCAAACTTCCTCTTAGCTTGGCTCATTTTCTAAACTGGACTGTGCAAGAGCAGATACCCATTCATGCTAGAGGGGTGGATTCTGCTAGGCATCAATTCAATCCTACTTATTCCCAGAGCAACCCTCACCACATGGCTTATCTTGTCTAGAGAGAAGGAGCAGAAGAATCATGGTTCCCAGCTTGGGAAACCAACATGGCTAACAATTGAATAATGAGAAAATATGCAGAGGCCCACATGTTGCCCACAGCAGTGACATCAAGAGATCTTCCTTATCTGGGTTCCTTTGCAGGTGGGTGACTGACAGAGGCCTGGCCAAGCTCCCTTTTCCCACATCCTCTGCTTACAAAAGCTGCAGACCCTTCAAAGAGGACTAAAAACAAGTTTTTCTCCCTCTGCTGTGAGATGCATAATGGGTTTGTTAATACAAGAGCTATCTCTCTCCTCAAGGCTGATGAAAACAGAGTGATTACTGATTCTGGCCAACACTCTAGAGGCCTTCTTGTGATTGCTTTTTGGACAAGTAGAGTCCATTTCAAAATCAAGGGCAGTGTCAGGAGATGGTGTGTCTGGTGGCTGTGAGCAATGTCAGCAGTGCTCTTTAGGGCCTGGGGAGAGGCTTAGGGCAGACAGGGAGATGCAGGGACTGTGCGCAGGTGCAGTTCAGAAAAGCTCCCGTTGGCTCAGACGTGAGTGCATCTGTCCATCTGCAGGGTCAGAGAATTCTAGTAGAGCAGGGTGTGCAGCTGAGAAGAGCAGGCACATGGGGCATGTGGAAATTGAACCAAGGTATCCGAATGCTGGAGCTCCTACTAATTCTGCTGTTGCTGCCTGCAGTTTCTGAGATGCAGAAGACAAATTGTCCAGGGGATATGTTTATGGAAGGAGCATATAACTATTATCGGCCAGGAGACTACATGATCAGTGGTGTTGTTTCTTCACAAGCTTTTTGGCATCAGCCACACTATGTTTTTTATGAATCACCAACTAAGCAGGGGGAGAGGTAAGAAACAATGCTCATACACTTGCCAACTGGCACTGCAGTTCTGCCCATCTCCAGGAGACAGCCCATAGTTCTGGTTCCCATGGTCACCCCCTCGTGATTTCTGCTCTGTATGTTGCCGTTCTTGTGCTTTCTGAAGGAAAATAGGACAAATGCTGACCAGCAGTCTAGCATGTGTCTGGCCACTGCTGGCATGGTTTCAGCTTTAGGGAGAAACAGCTGATTGCTTCAACTTACACAGAAAAATTCAGGTTGAGGCCAAGGGGCCTTTCCTTGAGACTGCCTGAATCACTGCACCCATCACATGGCTCCCCTGCCACCCCTGCCTCACTGCCTATTACGCAGCAACAAATGAGTTGGATGTCCCTTATTTTCACCTCTTACAAATGAGGAAGCACAAAATCATGGTGGATCCTCAGTGGGGAAGTCAGGGTGGGTGAAGGCCAGGCAAGGATACTTGGCATGAGGACAGGGATGTTTCCTTCAAGCGTTTCCACTTGCCATCTTTGGAAGAAGAGTAGGTCTCACTTCCCAAGTCCTTTCCTGACATATCTGGCTGGAAAAGATCAGCCAGATGAATGTTCCATCTCTGACCCTTTCATGTGAATGGGAAAATGAAATACTTCTGATGGGGAGAAAATGAATGAATGTGCTTGTGTGTATCTAAGGTCCATCGAAGCCAGCATTCGATGTACACAGTAGCCAAGAGGGTGTCAGCAGGAATGACAAACCAGGATGGAGAGCAATAGAACCTCTCCAGTGAATTTGCAGCAGGGCGTTTTCATATGATCCTGCCTCTGATAGGGATGTGTGAGCAATCCCTCTGTGGGTGGAAATCCATCACATTCCTTGGGCTGAGCTCCTGGGTGGGAGACTCACCTTGCTGCAGCCGAGTGCAAGTTGCTGGAGACTGTGCCGAGAACTTGTGAGGAGTTCTCCAAGAATTGGGCCATAAACCTTGAGCAAGTATTGCCCCGTCTCAGAGCAAGTGCAGTTGCCCTCTGAGTGGCTGCAACTGCTGTCAAGGCAGGTGGGGAAATTACTGGAATGTGGCTCCTGTGACTGCTGACTGCATCCCCCTCACAGGCCAGGAATGGCTCCCATTTGCCCTGTCATAACTGCTGAGGAAGGTTGCATAAGTGGTGGTCTGCAAGATTTCACAGACTTCTCAGATCAGCATACATTGGAAGACAAGTCTGAGCAAAAGAGGAAGCCTGCAAATGCGAGGCAGATGGATTCTGTGAAGTTTCATTCATCCCTGGCCTTTGATAACAGTGGAACATAAAGCCAACAGAACTGGCTGTCTCCTCCAGGGGTTTCTCCTGTTAAAGTCATCAAGGTTATTGGCCCAGACAGCAGTTCATATGAAAATTTTTGGAATTCCCCCTTGCAGAATCTCTGCCCTTCCGCTCATGCTCGGCCCAGCTCTGCAAAGTAAGTTGAGTCCAGATGAGATTGGTCGACTACACATCCCCACTGGCTGCCTCCACTGTCAGTGGTGGGCATGGAAGAAGTGCTCTGATTATGCAGCTAGTGGAACTCTATTCCTATGGAACATCCTGCCAATGATGCATGTGCTCAGCAGCAACCTCAGCTCTGGGTTGATGTGAATAGATATTGAACCTGGGAAGCCAAAACCAGGGAATGCAATGGATTTTCTGCACAACACAGATTTCTTTTGCATCCCTAGCCATGACTGCAGCAGTTGCAAGTGAATGCCATCATTCATCTGTGTGCCATCTGAAGGAATCCTTCTGTTTATGAATTTGGAAAATCCTCAGTATCTTCTTCATAAAATGAGCCCAGATCCTATCATTCTTGCATTGCAGTTTTTTATTTATGAAGTACTGGTACGTCCTGCCCTTCCTACTTGCCATCTATGAAATCAATGAGAATCCCAGACTCTTACCCAACATCAGCCTAGGCTAGAACATCTATGAGAGCCATTTTGATGCCAGGATGACATCCTATGCCATGCTCGGCCTGCCCACTGCTGGGGAAAGCCACCTTCTAAACAGCTGCAGGAAGAAGGAGCACATGCTGGCCACCAACTCAGACATCTCCACTCTTATCCCAGCCATGACAGGGATCTACAAGATTCCTCAGGTAGGACTGTGGAGGGGAAGGGAGTCCAGCTCCACCCAAATCCAGCTAGCACCGGCTCAGTTCCGCCCTATTCCAAAGCAACATCCGCCACTGAGGAAATACATCCTCTGCTGAGCGTGCTCCAGGTGGGAACTGGAGCTTTGGAATGGAAAGCAATTTCAAGCAGAGAAAGTTGCCCTTAGAATATGAAACACTAGCAAAATCATTATTGAATGTATGTCAGCATTTCAAGTTGTTCCATGCAGATTTGCAGATGTGTGAAAAGCACGGAGAAAGGGTAAAATAGCATCATGCAGAATGAAAAGTTGCATGTGTAAAATCAAAACTTTTAAGTCCTAATGCAGTGTGACAATCTGAAAAACACCTTGGTGACAACTTAGGGGAAAACCAGGATATGGAAAAGCTGTGAAGTGAAATCTATACCAAAGGCATTTGAAAAGATAGATAGATAGATAGATAGATAGATAGATAGATAGATAGATTTACAGCTTTTATATACTATCCACCACCAGTGTCTTGGGATGGTGTTACAGTAAAAGCAGCACCAAATAAAATGGAGCACATCATCTGAAACGTCCAGTAATTAAAACTCTCCATATAATCTTTTCAACCTTAAAATAATGGGAAGATGAAAAGGGTTTCGCTTGCTGCCAACAGGAATATTGTGTACTTACATATTTCTTGGGGAGTGGACTATGGGAAATCTGTAAAGGAAAATCCTGGAGGGACTGAACTGCTCAATGGCCACAAGGTGGCACTTCTGAAAGGCAAGCAAAACCATAACACTTTGGATGGACTTGAATGAATAAATTTCTCATTGGAGATGTAGACAAATTCAGTCTTATCTCTCAATCAGATCTTTCTTCTGTGTAACAGGACAATGTTCCAATCAGAATTCCTTCCATCAGCTAAATGCTTTTAAAAAGGAGAAAATCACTAGTCCCTCCAAAGTAGAAAGGGAGACCCATCTTGGGATGCTCATGTAGTCTTGTTTTCTATGGTCTTTTTCTGGTACTTGCAAGGCTATAGTGGGGTTGGGAGAGGTCTTGACTCTATACAGAAAGGGGCCCACTTTCCCCAAAACAATATAGCATTGCTACTATTGAGATGATCCTTGGAATATTTTGTCCCTCCCTTTTCCTAAACTCTCAGGACCCTTGTGATGGGCCCTTGCTTAGACATTTCATGTTCAGAGGCTTCTGATATTTCTCCTAAAGACAGAACAGTGTAAATTACCAGGCTCTTCCTCTCTTCATTAGGTCAGTTATGGCTTGGATAACCCTGTTCTGGAGGACCACACTCGGTTCCCATTCATCTACCAGATGGTCCCAAAGGAAGAGAGCATGTACTTGGGCATTGCCCAACTGGCTGTGAGTTTTCATTGGACATGGATTGGACTCTTTGCTCCAAACAGTGAAAGTGGAGAAAAATTTGTGAGGTCAGTGATTCCACTGATGATCAGTCATGGAATCTGCATTGCCTTCACAAAAAGGCTGCCACAAAAACACAAACTCAGAATGTCTCAAAATGATATCTCTGTTTTGTGGGGACAAGTGAGTGTACCTGCTTTTATTTTATTATTTTTCGATTTATATCCTGCCTTTTTCTACAAAGGGCTCAAGGCAGCTTACATCTCCTCCTCCATCTTATCCCCACAACAACAACACTGTGAGGTAGGCTGGGCTAACAGTATGTGACTGGCCGAATGTCACCAGTTGGCTCCATGGCCAAGCAGGGACTAGAACCCAGATCGCCTGAGTCCTAGTCCCACTCTCCTAACCACTACACAACACTGGCTCTCCACTACACCACACTTTCTATGCTGACTCTACCTATGACTGCTCCAATTTGGAAGATGCATAAGATACTTGTAAGGGAAAAAACTGGAGGCAAGTTCTGGATCACAACCAGAGTGCAAGACTTTAATGTGTGCTTAATGTATGGTACTGAGTTCTTTCAGCCTCTTCATGGTTCCTTGTCCTTTGTCATGAAGACTTCCCAAAAGACAAGTCTTGACCATTACATTCCAATTTCTCATGCTACAGACAGGTTTTGGCAGAATGCTTTCCATTGTTTCTACTCAGAGCATGCTTTTTCCATGAAAAGTTGGTCAAGCTACAGAGAGAAGGAGACCCTGGAAATGCTCCCCCAGGAAGAGCTTGAAGGAGACTTTTCTCAAGGCAGCTTCAGTACTTACAACATTGTCCAAATGGTAGCTGCTGCTTTAAATGCTGCATCTTTATCCCACTCCAAGCAGATGTTGATGGCTCGAAGAGGAGACAGGCTTCATGTGCAGAAGCTGCGGCCCTAGCAGTTATTCCCTTTCCTCTTCTGGGATCACAGAAACTGGCACAAGATTCAGGGTTCAGTTGAGCTAGCACACCTTGCAGGACATCTTCTTGCCAATGGCATGCCAGTTCAGAAGTGGATATTGAGTCGACTCTTCTGCCTTTGCTCTACCCTCAAAATGCTACCTGGGCTTGTATTCAGAAATGTCCTGGCAGCATTTGCACTTTCCTCTGAGCCCTGCAGAATGCTGTGTCCTGTTTCCTGACATTACTTTCTGCATCCATTTTTGTTCTTTGTTGATGTCATCAGAGGCCATTCAGAAGCCTCTCACCCAGCTGGCCGCATCTATTCCACTGATTCACACCTGATGAACTGGCAAAGGTCTTGCAGTGATGCTTCTGACCAGTGTCCTTCTGACGAGTTCACCTTGTGCCGATTACCAAAGGGCATAAGTGAGACAAGCACTTTCTTACACAAAGCATTGGTACTACACAGAGGTACTACCATTTTTAAAGAAAACTTTTCTAGTCTGCACAAGTTACAGCAACTACTACGTCATCCTTTCTGGCTCAGGTTCTTGAGAAGGTGTTGTCAGGTCATTTGCAGGGAATGTGAAGGATATCCATGGTCCCCTGATGGATGACCCTCCATGATAAATTGGGTGAGCTTGACCCAGTTCTTTTTCCCTGCTCTATCATTCCACTTTGATATGCTCCTCCATGGTTTACTGGTTTTCTAGCTTTACTTTTGGGATGCTGTAGGTACTGTATTTCAGTGCTTCTGCTTCAACCTACACACATTTTTTTAGAAAGAGTGTAGAAAGAACACTGTGGCAGTTCAACCCTCACACATTCAGTCCCACAAAGCATGTTGTTTTTCACAAATTGTCATTAGAATGAGTAGCTTACTTGTTGCCAATGTCAGGATGGGCTCTGGATCAAAAGACTGGCAACATGCTGATGAGATGTTTCTCTAGGACCCTGAAAACTCTGCTTGTGCTGTGGTCATGGCTGTCTGTGACCAGTGCCTGGACTCAATAATGCAGTGGAAGAGGGTCAGTAGAGGATATTTGAATTCTGGGGAAATGGACCCTGTGATCGAAACATGGTGCTGGAGGAGAGTTTTGTGGTAACTCAGGAGGAAGAGTATGATTAAATGGTTAGTCCTGCAGCAAATCAGGCAAGGATCTGATGACTTTGGTAGATGATGTTAAATTCTCTATGAAGGAGCAGTCTCTGGCCCAGTCTACACATAGTCTCTGAAGCGGATGGGAAGATTGAATCATTTGGCACATCAAATTTCTTTGTTCTTCTTTGTCTTGCATTTCATCTTGCATTTGTGGAAGCAACAGTTTGGCTCCCCTTTTGCAGGCAGGCATTGGTCAATTCAGTGCTGGATTACTGCAATGTGCTTTGTGGACAGCTTCCCCTGGAAGAAGCATTCAAAGCTGCAACCATGGCAGAATGCAGCTTGTCAGGGGCCACCCCACTTCTGCCTGGAATATCCTTGGTAATGGTCCTGCACTGGCAGTCCATTTCCATCTGTGTGAGGTTGAAGGTTGTTGTCTTATTGTAGGCCCTTTGGATCAGGAGACATGAAGACATGCCTTCTCCTTGACCATCCTTCCATTCATTGAGCACTTCTGGAGAAACATCCACATACTTTAAAAACCTCCTCAGCCACCTCCAGAAGAAGACCCTTTAATGCCACTATTCCTACCTGACCACTGATACAGTTAAGTCTTTCCAGGCAAGCATGTCCTCATGGAGAAAGCTTGCCTCCACGTTCATGAGTCTTTTTTTTTCTGTTCTCATTTTGGTGCTGTGTACATTTGTACATTGCTTTGACCTTGCTCGATCATTGCTCTGATCAAGTCTTTTGATGTGAACTAGCTTCTCATTTCTAAGGAAAATAAGCAGGAATTGCAAATGATTACACAATCAAAGAATCATGAACCTGTATGCCTGGTTAAAGATTCAGGGAAGTTGCTTGCTCAGTTGTTTGAGACAAGTCCAGCTTGTGACATTACCACTGGAGTTCCAGGTATCTTCCTGCCATGCTGACATTCTTTTCCCATGATTGGTCCTTGGTGCCTGAGGGAGAGAATTTGGAATGTAACTGCTGGGAAGTTGGTTGATTGTCCCTTCAGAGACTTCCAACTGGAGCAAAGGCCCATCTTCACAGGAGTTCTGTGAAGACCTGTGAATTTAGGACCTATTCTCCCTTCCACCAAGTGCCACATTATGTGTAGACAGCACTGGCTATTGGATAGCTGATGCTGTTATGCCTTCTCCATCTATGTTATTTCTTCTTTGTCTGTGATATGTGCCAAGAAGTCATCTCTGTGCACCACAGCCCTTTTCAGCTCTTCCAGACTCAAGGCTGTGGCTTCCAAGACCATCAGAATAATAAGGGTGGCAATTGGGCTGGCCTACAGTGGGGAATTGTTATCTTAAGGGAACCCCACTCACGTGCCACTGGTGGCTCTGGGTAGCAGGAATTTATTGAGGTCAAATATCCCCAGGGAAGGCTTAAAGGTTTTCTCTCATCTCTTACCTCCAGTCTGGTCAGGAACAGGAATGAGCAAGATATCTGGAGCTACCAGCTGGGAGTACTGGGTCTCTGTGAAAGGGGATAGTGTCTGCATGATGTTATTCATTCTTCCTATCTGCAAAATGCTAATGGAGAAAAGAAAGGAGATCCATGATGATGTCTCAGCAAGGAAATATGAGTACAGAAAAAATGCTCATTGTTTCTCTCCCTGGAATGGTAGAGCTCAGAGCAAAAGTAGCTAAAATACTTAACATCTGTTCAATCCATTAAGCCCTAGGGCTATGGAGTGGCGTACAGTTCTAATAGATGAATGAATGAATGAATGAATGAATGAATGAAATTAACATGTCTTTGTCGTTCTAGTTCCACCATTTCTTAAGAAGCATCAGAAATTCTAACACTTCCATTAATGGGCTGCAGTTGGATGAGCATGGACAGCTGGAAGCCAACTTTGACATTGTGAATTGGGTACTGTTTCCCAATCATACGCCTGGACTGGTGACCATTGGGAGTTGGATGAGAGCGGAATTCCCAGGGAGAAAGCTCAGCATCAATCCAGAAACCATTGTGTGGCCCAGGCATTTTAACAAGGTGGGAAAGATAATTTCTTTCCTGTGATTATAACTGGATCAGTAATGATCAATTAATCTGTGGGAGTGTAAATATAATTTCTCAATTGTCATTCATTGCACCCCTGCCTTGGGAAGGAAGTAACTTGTACATGATGGGACTTGAGCTTGTACACATATATACAAAATAGCCTTGTCAAGAGAATCTCCTCACTGAGGATGCTGCAGAGTTCCTTCTTGCCTTTACAGAGATTCACCATATGCACTGACCTGCTGTGGTGCTCATTGGGAGATTTTGAATGAGGTGTCATGGGCAGCAGAGGCCAAAGTGACTTCTGGGGATTGGAGCAGGAGGCTGCATCTCTGGGGCGTATGTCCGCTCTGCTTCACCCTTGAGTGATACCCAGGCCAATATTCTTCATGCATTGGGAACCCCATGTTTGTAAGTATGCCATGTACCCTTTGTGGGCTACCCTGGTATAGAGGCTGTGGTTGTTGTGTGATGTAGCAAGTAGGATGCTGAATGCAGCTCCTAGCCATGAATATTACATTGGTACTGAAGCTTGACTTCCTAGTGGCTAACAGAACAGGCAGACACAGATAAGGATATCCTTTAAAAAATGGAGTTCTCGCCTATATTCCATCTCTTCTCAAGGCCAAGCTTCCCCACATCTCTCAGTCTCTCCTCATAGGGCTCTTCCCCCCCCCCCCCAGAACTTGATCTTCTTTGCTGGCCTCCTCTGACCCCTGCCCAACCTGTCTGCCTCTTTCTTCAACATTGGTGCCCAGAACTGGACACAGCACTCCAGATAAGGCCTAATCAGTGCTTAATAAGGTGAAATTAGGACTTTAAGGGATTTGGAAGTGAACCTTCTATTTATGCAGCATTTGCTATTCAAGTAGCATTTGCCCTTTTTACAGCCACATCACATGGTTCACTCAAATTCAGCATGAGATCT